CATACGCGGTAGGGTGTTTATCTCAACATCTGGAGAACCCCAATAAACACCATTGGGAGGCATTTCAACACGTACTCCGTTATCTTAAAGGCACAGCTTCTTTCTGTATTCATTACAAATATGACTTAACACTACCAAAAGAATTATCCAGCAACAATAGCTGGACATTACCAACATATTTCTCTGACGCTGATTGGGCCGGGGATAAGAGTACTAGAAGATCGACCACTGGCTATGTGTTTATGATGGCAGGAGGAGCAATAAGTTGGAGGAGTCGGTTACAGCAGACGGTAGCAAAATCCTCAACTGAAGCGGAATTTAGAGCGGCAAACGAAGCAGGTGATGAAATGATATGGCTAAATGTGTTATTAGAATCTATTGGATTAAAACAACAATATCCTCAATTTTTAAACTGTGATAGCATGAGTGCTATAGATGTGTCTGAGAATGTGGTGCTACATGGAAGGACAAAGGCTATAGAAATTCATTTTTATTGGTTGAGGGAGAAGGTTAAGGATGGTACTTTTCAATTGAGACATGTGGAGTCGGAGGATATGCTGGCGGATGTTTTAACAAAACCATTACATCCAGGTCCATTTAGAAGCTTTAGAGAAAGGATAGGTCTTAGGTTAATTGAATGATGATATTTCAAAGCTGTCGATTGAGGGGGGGTGTTGGTGTTCAATTGACTCAGGATGAAAAGATGAAGAATAGAAGCGAGGAGTTACAATTTCCTAATTACATGTTACGAAAGCTATGACGAAATGAAAACACTTACTATGACGTCAATGTATCTGAAAGCCTTTATAAGATAGTTACTTTTCATTTGTAACGTTTTCTCTTTCCTCATCTTTGGAAAGAGAAACGTACGTATCCCATCTTAGAACCTTTTCATATTATGTATCCAACTAACTGTTATAACATTGTAGCTATCTTTCACTTAGATCACTGAGAGCTCACCATAACATCGTGTGCTCTACTTTATCAAATCTATCTACATTATAGGTATTTACTTTTGTTATCAATAATAGAAGAGTCGAGACTTATCTTTCATATTTATATTTGTATCTTTCTCTTATTTGTTGTAGGTCAGAGTTCTTTCCTATAACAGGAGAACTTCTAGTGATCCTTATCTAACTTATAGCGCATATCAGGTAATTAATAATCTTTGGAAAGAGAAACCTATCTTTCACTTAGATCACTGAGAGCTCACCATAACATCGTGTGCTCTACTTTATCAAATCTATCTACATTATAGGTCAGAGTTCTTTCCTATAACAGGAGAACTTCTAGTGATCCTTATCTAACTTATAGCGCATATCAGGTCAGAGTTCTTTCCTATAACAGGAGAACTTCTAGTGATCCTTATCTAACTTATAGCGCATATCAGTTCCTCTTTGTCACAGGAACATTTATCACAGACCGTATTCCAAGTCACGTAGACATTTTCAGATCAAGACACTACATGATTTGCAGAAGAATTTGTGATTTCATTGGTCTTGCAAGGTCACTGTCCCAGACTCCCAATACATCCCAGTTCCCAGTTTTGGACCAAAATTGGGTTTCTGACATTTTCTGCATTGTGGTTGTAAATTATGAAAAGCTGACCCTTCCCAGCTTCTCCATAATCCTATGTTTTCTCAATTTTCTAAACTCAGTGTTAAATTTGCAAATTGGCATAGTGTCAGAGTACCATTGATCTTAAGACATTGTAAAGCTTTGTAGGTGCAGTGGTATTGCTACAGTGAAAGAAATTTTCTTGTTTGGGTAACCACTGATGGCAGGAAGACAGAATGAATTTCAGAAACTTGTCTTGTCAAGAACCAGTTATTGGAGTTGTGAAAGACATAATTATATCCTATGTATTTTGACGTGCACAGATATCTGGGAGAGCAGTGTCAGCCCTGATCCCTGATTACAGGACCACTGGCTAATAGTACCACATGTAATATTAACATTTTGTATAAAAAATAAGCCACATCTCAACTTCAAGGCTCAGTGTCAAGCGCCACTCAAACAGATGTTTGTAATGTGTTAAATACATAATAAACCTAACTCAAGCATCAACCACAAGTTGACACATGAATAGACAAGACTTGCACACCAGCCACAAGTTGATGTTTGACTTGAGAGTATCTAAACCCACCTTCTTCCCTAGATCTATCCCTCATCTTTTACTACAATCACATCACAAAACCACATTTCACTTGACTCCTACTGAGAAGATTAAATAAATGTAAATTCGTAAACCCCCCCTTCAAGCAAAAACTCAGCATTTATGCCACCCCTTAGGGTTACAGACATATGTGCTGAGTTTGGCTTGAAAGCCGGAGGCTACAAACTTACATCCACCAGACACCCCTACTGTTTCAGCCTCCATTGGTCGTAAGAACGACTTCCTGGATTGCTGTTGAGGGGTGTGGGGCTGTCTAATTCAGCTCACAATGTCTCTATTTATATTCCAGATTTCCCTCTTCTCATGAAGCATTTTACCGCTGGCTTCAGAGATTGCATTAGTCATTTCCAAATTAAATTTTCATCCTTGATCATTAATTGCCTTCTCCTACTCCTTCATCTAACTTTCTCAGCCTCAGTTCTTAATACAACTTCTCGATGTATCTTTATCTTACCAATCCTGTAAATACATTTCTTCATTATGCTCAATATGGAAGTTAATACCATTCACTATCCTAGTCTTCATGTACATTGTTAGTTGTGTAGCTTGTTGAAGAATATGATTGATGGTTGTATTTCTGAACACCCAAGGTACTGACACTACAAAAAATATAATGTTTTCCGGGCAGAAAACACAAATATTGATATACCAAAATGTATATTGTTCCTGGTGTTTAGAGCTTCAATCCAAGTATTTTTCTGTATTTTTAGAGTGTATATTTATGGGATACAAAGTAAACTGAGATTTTTTCTCAGTTTCCCAGTTTTTGTTTTTGGCTGTATTTGAGAAACTGGGAAACTGGGAAAAAACTCCCAGTTTTTACTTTGTATCCCACAATTGTTGGATGTACTAACAAAAAACTGAATGCTCACAACTTTTGTGATTGGAAAGGAAAACATTCCATTATTGGTTCATTAGAAAGCTGAACTATGTCTCCAAACCTTCTATTGAGGGGGCAGGGCTTTGTCTAGCTTTGCAAAGAATCTATGTGGCTTTGTGGAAGATACTTCAAAGTGACTATAGCTGCTTTGTGAGAGAAGATGAAGCCTTGCCTCATTATTAAGACATTCAGAGAGAGACACTGGCTTTCTAATGAGCCTCAAAGTGATCCTTTTGACCAAGAATTGCAAATTTTATGAGCATTTGTAGAATTCCAATTGTCCTCTCAAATCCTTATTTAAGGAACCAAATTTCAGCATCTGTTACAGGTGTGAATCTGATGAATATGGGGATTTTGTTAGTACGTTCAACAATATACACTCCAAAATACAAAGAAATACTAAGATCAAAGCTCTCAACACCAGGAACAATATCCATATTCTTTTGTATTTTTTGCCCTCCTCTTAACCACCCAATATTTGTGTTTTCTGCCCAGAAAACATTATATTCATTGTAGTGTGATTTCTACAAGCACAGGGCATTCATTGTCTCTAGAAATGAACCTCAAAGCAGCAAAGCTTCCTCTTTTTTAAGAACTCTAAAGTAGCCTTCAGGATCTTTGGTTTACCAAAGTGTAAAGCTGGCCCCTTACAGTCTTACAAGGTTAGAGTGTATCATTTCTTTACTTCCCTGAACCTTTCTTTCCCTTTCTCAACCCATCTCCTTAGAGGTCAACTAAATTTGGTCTTCTGTACCACATGAAGGCCAGGATTTGCCTTCCTCTCTGCTATTCCCAGTGAAGAGTACATCTGACAGATGTGTACTCCTCACAAGCACACACTCAACCCTGCCTGCATGGGGAAAAATCTCCCAAAGTTGGATGCTGAGTCATTTCATATGGTCTGATATAGGTCTGTGACCCGGACCTGGTCCTGACCAACCAACTCTGTGCAACAATGTTTTCAAGGCCAACAGTCTGTTCCCTGGACAATCAAATCCAAGATCATCCACAATGGACTCTTCACATGGTAAATTTGAAGGTAAGATAATCAATTTTTGCCACAGTGGACTTTTCAACTTTGAAGTTTTGTATTTTTGACTTTTCAAATTTTCCAACCTCACTTTCAAATTTGACATTCAGATTCAAGAATTCAAAAAGTCCAAAAATCATGTGCCAATGCTGCACATGATGAATTGTTGGTAGATTCCTTTGCCAGGTTGACTCTATTCCCCTTCCAGAGCTTTTGATCTGTTCAATCTCATCACATACAAGCTCTCCAAAGACATCATTTAGTTATCCTCCTTCTGAGCCTTGTTTGCCCCTACTATTGAGCCCCAACCTGCCCTGCCAAACGGCTAGGGCTTTCATTCTACCCGTAGCCAGCCTTGAAACTTCAGGGTTGGGTCACAGCCATAGCTGTCTGATAGGGCTGGCTCTGAGGGCTCACCATGACCGCTCACACCAACTCTAGATTGATGGGCTCCTCTTCCCCAAGCAGGCTTGCTATGTTGTGTATGTTTCAAACTCTTACCAAACACAAAGCTACCTCATCATGTGTACATATGTATGTAGCTCAACTCAGTAGGAAGATAAAGAAGTCTTCTCTCAACTTGGTAAAATGATCAACTTGGATACATGATCAAGTGTATTGGGCTAATATGTGGACTGATTGTCCCAGAGGTCTATGTAGATCTTTGGCTTGGCCTTTATCCTTGCAAAAGCCCTTTAGCAATAATTGATTATTGAGTTCAAATCAGAGGTGAAATGGGAAATATATGTGAAGACTGCGTATGAGGCGAGAAAAGTGTTACATATGTAGGTCAATTTGATTTGATTCCATATGATAGTTGATGAATTTTTATCCTAAGAAATCTTCATTCCCAATTCACATAATTTGTCAGACAGCCAACGGCCATCTAATCAAAACCCGGAGTTTGTTTTGTCTTATGATCTTTCTAAACCTCTTGTATTAACCCACCTTAGATCATCCGCAATCCAGCCGGCTATGTCATCAACACCTACCGTGGCGCCACGCGGAATCATTCTACGGCCATACATCTCTTTTGCTGCCTCGAATCCTGTGATTGAACGCAATAGGGTAAATACAAGAATTAGTATCAGAAAAATGTTAAATCTTTCAAAAGATCAGATTACTCGTTGAGGAGTTGATCAAAGCACATACCCGATCCACTGCTTGGCCCCCCAGCCTGTAGCCACTGTAGAACTTTTTGATTTTCAACGAACAAATTCCGGAATTTTGCTGGGTTTGCATTCATCTGGCTAATGATCTCCGTAATACTAACCCCCATCACGAGTATAGGTGAAAGTAAGAAAACGCAAGCTAAGAAGAATCTCATTTTGATCTTGTAAAGAGGTTTGGTTTAATAGATTATGAGGTTTATGTTGAAGTAAGTTGATGACTCGAGCAAAAGTGATTGATGGTTTGGTTGTAAAATGAGCGTATGCTTAGAGAATGTTATTGATTGATGATGATGAAGTCAAAGCAAGAGAAGCTGAGTGATGTGAATAGAGGATAATCATCCCTCGATCAGCAGTATTTATATCTGTTCCTCGCAGTGTGGTCGTTGATGATAAGTCGCGTCAAGCTGTGGGTACCACCACGGTGTCCGCACTACCCCTAAGATGAGACCATACTCCTCAAGGTGGAAGGGAGAGAGTCGGGAGTCTAATTCACCAAACTTAACACTAATTCAATATTATAATCATCACCAATGTGAGACGCTAGCTGATATGAGTCGAGTAGATGCAAGTTGTAACACCCTCATGCTGTTTCGACAATAAAATTCTATAATGCTACACTATCTTTGATATGCGGCTTCACCATCATCCTAAAGTTGAGCTTAAATCACATGTGTGATGTAAGTGTGACTCAGGATGTTTTCACCCGAACAACTACATTCGAGCAATGAGACTGAAGAGGAAAAAGGAATAGGGAAACTCAAGTTTGTCAAAATCATGTTAGACTTGAAATATATCGATCCCTTGGTTCGTTTGATCTCAAATTAAATGTTTTAGCCAATTGGTACAACATTTTTTGCTAGATGAATCAACCTTCATCGGTGGTGTGATGCATCATGTCATCCTATTTTAATTTATCAAGAAGAAGACTTATTGGAGGATCCAAAGAACCGAGGACATCAAAGCTCGACAAACTCCCTATTTATTATGAACTGTTCCGGACATCTCATCAAACACTTTGTCAAGTTTGCGATTAGCTTAACACAAGGATCATGTATTGAGGTGGAACAGGATGTAATGAGGGTGGTACCTCGTGGTACATATCACTCTCGAACATTCAGGTGCAGTCTCATCAAGCTCAGCAAAAAAATATCTATGTATGTTCTTACTCTAATGTTCATCAAATCGAAGCAACCTTTCGATTTTTTTTCCTCCGTTCTTAAAACTCCTACATAGTGAAGTACACTTTGTCTTCCTAAATTTTCATCTGAGTTATAAATTATCATGTTGTATCAATTTACCAATTCCCTCCCCAGATTTCTGAGCATCACTATCTTCCTGCTCATCCATCTCCTTTTACTTATCACATAAATCATGTTAGCAAAGTGTGATAAGATTTCTATCAGTACACAGAAATATAGATTTCTGCAGAAACAAAATCTAAGTGAAGTGCACACAGCCATCGATGCAAACACCCGTTTGCCGTTTCGAAGGCGAAAACATCTGCTATAAACCACAGTAACCCGGTTCTTCATCAAAATGTGTTTATGGCTCAACACAAGCCTGTCCTCATAAGGGACAGCGGTGCGAAGACTGGCGAGGAGCTACACCTTGTTCGGTATCTATCAAGCTACCCAAGATGTAAGTTTATAAATTACACTATCCGTACGTATATTTTGAATGTCTTGATCTCTGATCCTTGACGGTACCACAACTGATCCGCCCTCTACATCTTCTGGTCCTGACTATCCTCTTCATGCTCTGTTGGTCCGGTGATTTCTTTGTCTTGTAAACAAGACCTAACGTAGAATTCCTTGTCTGACGGTCTCTGTTCAACACAGTGCTGGTTGTGAGGAATTCCTTAAAAAGTGTATGTCAAATATAAATCACAAGTTTAAGCAAATACCAGTGGAGATGTTCTAATACATACGTCGGATGTGAAATATCTCAAGCCATGTAAGCCAGAGGAGCAACAAATCAGAGGATTGAAGGCAGTGTAAAGCTATGTCATTGTAGGTGAGCGCAGTGATAAACATCGCTATAGAAAATAAATATAGCAGGGCATGTACATAGTAGTAGTAAGAGCGAGAAGAAATGCTGATTTGTAGAAACTTGTTTTGTGCATAGCCAAAAAGACTTGAAAGAGTCGCCCAGGCAAGTTTATTCGCAGAGAAGGGATTGATGATTGAGATGAATTTGATTTACTTGAGCTTAGAGACATGTCTCTGAAATCAAATTAAATACAAATTGTATGAAAGGAGGGAGATCTTGATGATGAAATGATGAAATGTTAAGGTGAAGTCGATGAGATGAGAATGGGATTGCGTGGAACTTCCACGTCACAGTCAACCGCGCAGAATAAATTTTTACTAGAAAGTTCTATTTCATGCTTTAAAGCTCGATTTAAAGACAAAGGGAATCGATTTTCTACCGACAAATTCCAGACTCCATACCATACCATAGCCATACCATTACGATACGACACTACATACTCAACAATACCTGATATTTTCTAAATAACTTCAACAAACCATCTTCTCAAATCAAATCAAAACCAACTAAACTAGCAAACCAAGATGCGATTTACTAAAAACAAACGATTATTTCTATTTGTGACTTTATCTATAGCACTCTTACATTTCTCAAAAGCAACAAGTAACTTACAAAATGAACAAGCAGAAGATGTTCAAATCCCAATCTCAGGATTTCAACCAGAACAAGAAATCTTAATGTCAAAGAATCAAGAAAAATTCGAATTTCAAGTTGAGTCTTTCACCATTTCCCCTTTTTTCTAACCAAATCAAATTCCAGAAACTGATCTTTGAATGCTTTGAATCCATTTCCACAGAGTGATATTGCTAGACTTATGCGTGTCGTCGTTTCTCATCTTTATCATGATCGGGATGTGTTCTTGAGAGAATTGATTAGTAATAGCGGTGATGCACTTGAGAAACTTAGATTTGCTTCTTTAACTGATTCATCTGTAAGTTCATTTCATCTGACCTTCAAATCGAACCTCGAACATTCATTGATTGTTTTGTTTTGTTTTGCTCAGGTATTGGATACTGCACCTGCTCTTAATATCTCGATTATGGCTGATAAACCATCTAAAAGGTTGATCATTAGAGGTAAATCCATCAATTCTACTTTTTCTCCCAAAAACATAACCTACAAGAATCCTAACACCTCTGAATTTCTTTTGATTAGATTCCGGTGTAGGTATGACTAAATCAGAATTACAAAAAAATTTGGGAACGATAGCTAGATCAGGAACTTCTGAATTTTTAAGTAAATTAGAAAAAGGAGAAAAAACAGAAACCTCTAATAATTTGATCGGTCAATTCGGATTAGGATTTTATTCTTCTTTCTTAGTAGCTGATCGAGTTTTAGTTTCAAGTAAATCTAATTCAGATGATAAACAATGGGTGTTTGAATCGAATGCCGATGCTGCTGAATTTAAGATCTCAGAAGATCCTCGTGGTAATTCTTTAGGTCGTGGTACTGAGATCACTTTGTAAGGATCTCATTTGATTTCTATTCTTCGTTCTCATTCAAATACGTTAACTTACATATGATGTGATTCTATCTATAGGTATATTAAAGATGATGCTACTGAGTATCTAGAGATTGATAAACTTAAAGAACTCATCTCAACTCACTCTGAGTTTTCCACAACCGCACCAATTTATCTTTGGACTGAAAAAGGTTTGTTTGGTATTTGCTTAACTACGCATTTCTCTTTTTCTGAATACTGATCTTTCAATAATCTTGAATCTTTAGAGGAAGAAGTTCCAATTGAAGAAGAAGAAAAGCCCAAAACTGATGATGATGAAGATGAATCATCAAAAGCAAAAGAGAAAACTGATGAAGAGAAAGATGAAGATGAATTAAAGATTGATGAAGATTCAGAAGATTCAGAAGATAGTTCTACTCCTGCTACTCCAAAGACAAAGACTGTAAAGAAACAAGTATGGGATCAACTTAACACAAAGGGACCTATTTGGACTAGGTTAGTGTTTCAATTTGGCTTTGATTCTCATCGGATGGTTTGTTAAGCTTTGGTCTTCTGATTGGTTTGTAATAGGGATCCTAAGGAAGTTTCAGATGAAGATTATATTACGTTTTATAAAGCACTTACTAGTCAAACTGAAGCGCCTTCATCTTGGATTCATTTCAAAGTCAGTCTCACCCACCCTCATAATTTTGTTTTTTTAAATCACTAATCAAAACTTCTTCTTCAAATACAATAGGGAGATGCAGGTCGAACCGCATTCCATGGATTAATTTTCATTCCTGAAACTTTACCAGCCGATTTCTATACCAAAACTTATGCTCAGTTAGATTCAGTTCGATTATTTGTACGAAAGGTTTTGATTACCAAAGAACCATCACCTGATTTCCTTCCGAAATGGTTTAATTGGATTAAAGTGATTATTGATGCAGACGATTTACCATTGAATGTAGGAAGAGATAGTTTACAAGTTAATAAATCTTTAAGACAAATCCAAAACATCATCTTAAAGAAATTTTTGGATCATTTAAATCAAGTATCTAAAAAAGAACCGGAAAAGTATTTAAAACTTTGGAAAAAGATTGGTACGACCTTGAAAGTAGGAGCAGTAGAAGATATTAAGAATCGAGAAAAATTATCAAAATTGATGAGGTTTCATTCATCTGAACTTAAAGAAGGATCACTGGTTAGTTTAGATGAATATGTAGCTAGAAGAAAGAAAAATCAAAAACAAATATACTTTATGGCTGGTGCAGGTATGGAAGTTAAAGATTTAAGTAGATCACCTTTCGTGGAGAAATTAGTAGCACGTGGTTATGAAGTTTTGTATTTGGTGGATCCAATGGATGAGATGATTACTCAAAGTTTGGCTACGTATGATGGACTTAAATTTCAGGATGTGGCAAAGAAAGGTCTTAAGATGGGAGATGAAGATGATGATGAAGATGAAAAGGCTGCTTTCGAAGAATATAAGAAGGAGTATGAACCGTTATCTAAGTGGATTCAGAAGGAGTTGGATGAGTATGTTGGTGATGGTACGTACCACTCTCTTTACTCCTTTTTTGCGTTGCTTGACTGACTCGTCATTTTTTTTGTATTGATGATCAAACAGTGGTGATCTCTAACCGATTAACGACTTCACCCTGTGCTGTTGTCGCTGATTCATACGCATGGACTGTAAGTACCTCTTGAACCTCAATCATTGTTCTAATCCTTGAAATCTTATACTGAAATTGATTCTTTGAAACTTTGATCTTTTCAGGGTAACATGGAACGATTGATGGCAGCTCAAGGAAGTCGAGGATCAGAAAACAACTTTATGATGGACATGATCAAGAAAGCGAAAAAAGTATTTGAGATCAACCCGAAACATCCGTTGATCCAAGGATTATTGAGTAAAGTACCAGAAGGAGAAGAAGAAGCGGATGAAGAACTTAAATATGTAGTTAGAACACTTTGGGATACATCTTTGGTTAGATCAGGATTTAACGTGGTAGACAACAATGCATATTTTGATCGAATTGAAGTTTTATTGAGGAAATCGATTGGGGTAGATGAAAAGGAAAAAGTAGATGTTGGAGAAATCAAACCTGCACCAGCTGTTGAAGTTGGACCGGTTGATGGTAGAAAAGAAGGAGAAGGATCAACATCAACAGAAGAGAACGTTGTAGGAAAAGAAGAAGAAAAGAACGAAGAATGGAAAGATTGGTCTAAAGTTAAAGAAGATTTAAAAACGAAAGAAGAAACAAGTTCAGAAGAAAAGAAAGTAGAAGAAGAAGCAGAATCGAAAGTAGAAGAAGAATCGATGGAAGTAGAAGAAAAAGATGATGATGAATCGGAAAAGAAAGATCCAAAGAAGAGTGAAGAATTTCAAGAAGCTAATCAAAAGATGAAAGATGAATTAAAGAAATTAGAAGAAATGTTAAAAGGAATGCAAGGTCAGAAAGGAGCTGATGGGAAAGAAATGCCAGATTTAGGTGATTTGAGTGAGATGCTAAAGGGATTTGGTAATATTAAGGATGATGATGATACTGGTCATGATGAACTTTAGAATAAAAAAAAGTTAGATTGGTTCTTTTGTTGAGTGGTTGATGATTTTCTTTCTTTTTCGGGTCTCGTTGTTATGTTGGGTTCCTTTTACTATTTTCTTTGTATATTCTTTACTGCTACAATTTTTTAAAAAAACCTTTTTGATTAGAATGATTTTGTGATTTTGTTTTATGTTTTTTTGAGCTATTGAAAAGAATTTCTATAAATATAGATACAAACAGTAGTGATTCGAGAATTTGGATCTCAAATTTAAGAAATTTGAATTGTAAGTGGATTTGGTTTTAGGAAATGGTACATATAATGAGCGATTTGAGGTATCAGTTGAGTCAATCATGCAATGCTGATAGATGCTCACTGAAGAATTGAACTTGATGCATTTGATTACCTTTAACAAATAGGATCACCTGCACTGCAGATTGACTTTCAGCATATCATAATCTTTGAGTTTGTTTTGTTTTCACTAGACCTTATCAACTTTTACTCTTTTCCTAATCCTTTATTTTTACCAATCTGTTTTTGTTTATCAGGATCTCTTGAACATTTCAATAGTTCTGAACTCATAATTAACCTTAAGCAAAGCCCCTTGTGTGCACGCGGTATTGTTAAGCTCGCGAAAAGATACCTGGAATTGATCATGGGTGTATGATCATGTTGAACTTCATCTTCAACTGCAATTTGATGTTCCGGGACTGCTACATACTCCCTTGTTCCCCCCGATTCTTTGTCCTCGGACGCGGTAGCTTGGATTCTCCTATCAGTATTCTTGATACACCCCCACTTGATAAATAGGAGAAGAGGAGACAAAGGAAGGTTGGACTGCTCATGTTTTGTATGAGCAAGATCTGTTGGACAGATTGGCTAACCACCTTCAAACTTGATACAACGTATGAGATCGAACGGACAAACTGATCAATCCATTTTACATCAGATTATATCATTCATGATTGTGATCGAATTGGTTTTCCCTTTTCCTTTCTCCGCCCTCGATTTTATTCCTCGGATGATGTCCTTCAGATGACAAACTCCTAAGGCCGACGTACATCACATGAAACTTGAGCTCCACTTTAGAATGCATAGAATGATCGCAAAGTCTCATATCATAGATCGCTAGCATTATAATTTTTGTCGAAACGGCATGGGCATTGGCGGGCATGGGGGTGTTGCGTCCATGACTACTGTTCATTATATCGAACTTGACTCGTATTAGTTAGCCTCTAACACTGATAGAAACCATAATTTCAGATTAGTCTCATGACTCTCTCCTTTACAATTTGAGGTTGAAGGTATGTAGTGCGAATATCGCGATGGTACACACAGCTTGACGCGACTTATCACTACTTACCAAACGCCAGGAAAGGGTATAAATAATGGCGACAGAGGGCATGAGCAATCCTTCCCCCAGAAGCCAAATACTTTAGCTTTGTGTTCCTTTCACTTCATCATCATTACTCAGTAAAATCCCTTAAACAGACGCTCTTTTTATAACCAAGCCAACCAACACATTCCCTTGAGTCATCAATTCACTTCAACATAAACCTCAAAATTTATTAAACCAAACATCTTTACAAAATCACAATGAGATTCTTCTTGGCTTGCTTTTTGTTCCTTTCACCTATCCTTGTGAGGGGTAATATGGAGGAGGCAGTTGAGAAGGCCGTCTCCACGATGCAATCAGACCCAGGAGGATTCGGATATGCTCTCGGTGAGAAAGCGCGACCCGTTGCGGATTGGCTTGACGCCGATGCACCGGCAAGTGGACATGGTAAGTGCTTCGACTGACTCTTCAACAAGTCATCTCATCTTTTCAAAGATTCAATCTCTGTCTAATGAAGTTTCTTCTAACCTATTGCGTTCGATCACAGAATGGGAAAGTGTAACACGATCGTATCACCCTTCTCATGGGGTCCCGATAAGTAAGGAAGAGGTCGTGAATTGGATTGATAATGATCTATCTCGCATCAGAGGACGCGGTCAACCTCCTCGTTCTTAAATTGGGTCCGAATGAGTCTGTACTATTGTATCTAAACGTTTTTTTGGTGATCCAACGAATCATATGAATGGGGAATGAAGCTTCAACAAGAAATCATTTCTAAATTTCTCAAATATCATATTCATTGAATCAAGTTGACCTATATACATAAATCACTTTGCCAAACTCTTGTGCAGTCTTCACTTGTGAATCTCATTTCACAACTGATTTCAATTAAATAATCATTCGAATGTGGAAGTTCTGTGAGGATAAAGGCTGAGCCGAAGATCTGGGTCTCGGGGATTTCCAGTCCGCATAGCAGCGCAATGATCAAAACTAAACTTGACAGTTCTTACTCGGGGAAGACCTTTTCATCTTTCTACCAAGCTGAGCAGGACACTTACATAGCACCCACCGAGGCAAGTTAAGATGAGTAAAAGTATTGTGCTCGATAAGAGTATGATACATATACAACATAGCAAGCAATCTGGTCCTGGATGGAGAGAAGCCCATCACCCGAGACTGAGATCAAGAAGGGCGCGAGCTTTCATGGCGCACCAGCCCTATCAAGACTGTATAAAATGACTCGCTACCCAAGCTTTGGAGATTATTCCTCGTGCAGGCAGGGTTGAGTTGATGCACTTCATCTGATAATTTTGTTTACAAAACTTTTAGGATATTCAACTTTTATGGATACATCAACAAGTTTTCAAGGGATGTCTATGTACTAGTATAATACTTCAGGAGCTGCGAACCTCATGTTTCCCTTCCAACATAGCATGCAAAGCGTCACTTCCAATCAATGGTGGTCACCTTTGTCATTTTATCAAGATGAGGTCATGTGACTTACAAGATGGAAAATGTACGCAAGAGAGGGCTGGTCGAAGTGTGTATATAGGGATCTTGTTGGGGGTTGTTTGCTCAGCCTAAAATTAATGTTATAGGTACCTTTCTACGATTGATGAGGAATGCAACCTTGACAAGGCAAATATAGCTCTTCAGTGAGCCAACCCGCTTAGAAACAGGTACAGAATGACGAGAACAAGTTGAGATTCTTTTTGTTTTGCCCTATATAACAGTCACCGAATTACTTGACATCTTGATCTTCAGCACACTTTCATCCTCCAGCTTTTCCCGCTTCTTACGTTCTCCATTCCTTCTACTGGATCATTTATCATATCATATAAGAGCACCTCTTCTATCTTCTAGTATCACAACTCCTTATCCTGTACTAGTAGTAGCACCAACAACCCATATCAACCTTCTTCTCTTATTAAACCCAACACTTCACACAATATGCACTCTCAATCTTCTTCGCCTTCTCTTATCCAGGGTTCCTTTGTACCCCTTGATGACGAGACTACTTTTGAACCCATGTGTGTAACCCGGCTCGAGTACAATGTTCCCTCGATGCGCGACCAAGCAGTCTTGAGACGTCAGTTGACTTTCATCTATCTCTTTACTTAACTGGAATTGGGCTGACATCTTGTTGGCCAGTAGCATTTCGACCAATGCCATTTAGGCATCGAGTTGAGGAGGTACGGCCAATTCGACAACGGGATACCTCGGTTTCTCAACTCATCAGCATGTTTGACCACTTGATCGATGAAGAGATGGTATGCGAGTCCGACGCGTCAACTTCCCCCGACATCGGCTCCATTGCACGAAGTCTGACTTACAAAAGCTCATCTGGACCGGACACGTATGCTCCCTTCTTTTCTAATAACTCTGAACAGGACAATTTGATGACCGAATCCACTTCTCGTGCTTTCAGTCACACTCATAATGCCGACTCCAACTCTCCATCACGATCATCTGTGGCACCTTTTCCGATTCCTCATCACATGATTGATTGGACGGTAGATGTTAATCTAGACGCATCGTCCCTACCAAAGTGGGAAAACCCACAAGTCGACCGATCAACAACTGCCAACAACACCTATGTAGAAGAGAATTGTCAGGAGACTAAACGTCGCAAGCTTCCCTCCGAATGCCGACAACTAGTCTTCGTTCCAAGACACTCCAGCCCCACCTCATCGCATACAGCGGGTGAAGATGAACCAAGGAAGAGAAGGAAAAGATGCAATGAATCCTGAATCACCTCGTTCCGGTTTGATGGCAACAAGGCTATTGATGATGATCCATGTACTAGTAGTCGGTTTTGGGGGTAGATGAGGCGCTTTGATTGATCAGGAATGGAAGCTTGGGCTATGGGCTTGTCTTTTTCTTTTCCTTTACTATTCCTCTTTGTTCTTTTCTCATTCTCGTACCTTTTTCCTCTTTTTATCCTTGTTCTCATGATTATGTTTGTTTTCATTGCTTATCATTTTTATTCTTGATAAGATGCATGTACCAACATTCTTAGTCGATATGTATGACCAAATTGTCATCCTTATCATATTTTTTAGTCTTACATCTTCTTGCAGTTCAATGACCAATTTGATTCATATTTTTTGCGTCAGAGCCTTCTCAATAAAATGATTTGTAACCTACATGAAAAGTAATGTGGTCAGATATAAGGCTGTCCACATGGATTATGTCCTAGTCCTTTCAAGTAGGCCTCACACATCTAGAAAATCTAATCCATACTATGCATTCATATCCTCATATCCAAACCATATCTTCACATGGAAAGCTATTCCCTGCTGAGAGGCTCAAAGTCTGGGGAGAGTGATATCCTTTGTAATCTTTTCACTCTCTGAATTCATATTTTTACATTTGATAAGTTGTTTTTCCCGTTTCCTTTCCCCGCGCTCAACTTCATTCCCCAGACGGCGTTTGGCACGTGGAAACCTCTAAAGCGGACTTACATCACATGAAACTTGAATTTACTTATATGAAAGGAATAATGACTTTGAACTTAATTAGTCGACGACATCCACTAAATTGAAACTGACTCATATTGTAATTAGCTTCTGACATTGATGAAAATGCATCATAGCAAATCAGTCTCCTCACACTCTTCGTTCTGACCGACGGCATGCTTACCTTCATTCCACAGTCCACATTGCTCAACATTGTCTTCTTTTGATTCCATCTTTAAACTCAGCAACCATCTCTCAGCACACATTCTTTCTATAATCAGATCATCAATCAAGTTTTCGTGGCTTGAGATCACTTTGATACATACTTCATATTTCCTTTTTTACAAGATCCAAGTTCGACCAATGAATAAAAATATCAGAATCGTGCTATTTTGTCTTATGATCTTCGCACCCCTCTTTGTGATAGGAGGTATAGAGAAAATAATTGCTGCTTCCCACCAAAGGCACGACGTGTTAAGACACTTCTATTGTGGTGAGGGAGGTAAGACTTAGACTAGGTGCACATGTAACCTACACACACGACAAGGTCGGGTGGGACAAAGATACAGAGAGAAGGGAGAGAATTTTCCCTCCCTCTCTACTAAATTCTTTTCCTGCACCTCAGTCGTAGAAAGAAGAGAATCAAGCTCTCTTAGGTGATAGATATAAAATATTTTCAATTTTATCAGAAGATTAATCACAATAAACAAACATCATCAACAAGAATACACACAACAACGCCAAGAAGCTGAATCTAGAAGTTGGAAAACCTTAATCTCAACCCGGGAGACCTACCACAATCAACCTTAATTGTCACTCACAACCTTAATTCTCCCTACTATACGAAACCATCCCCTTTTTCACTTAAATCCTTGTCCACAACTTATCAACCATAAAAAGAAGTCATGGATAGTGAAGAATTTCATAACCAAATCGACGAATCGCTCAGAAGGGAACAGGACGAAAGCAAAGGGAAAGAAGCGGAGAATCAAGAGCAAGAGGAAGAGAAGAAGACTGAGATGGAAGGAGGAAGAGAAGACGATGGAGGCGAAGATGAAGAAAGCCAAGACGAAGGCAAAGGAGAACCGATCCCTGGAACTAGCGCTAAAGAGAAAGACACCCCCCCGACTAGACAATCGAAGAGGAAGAAAGCTCCACCAAAACCTTTTCCACCAGCGGCAACCGCCAAATCGAAATCGGTGGGACCGATACGCATAAAGAAAGCGAAGACGGCGACAAACCAAGCTCCAACACCACCCGACGAAGAAGTCGAAAGACAAACTACGAAAAAGAAAGCGCCAGCCCGCCAACGCAAAACAAACAACCCACCACTCCGCCCACCTGTCAGTAACCCAATCGTCAACGAACAAGACGACGAGTCTACGGGAAGTGAAGAAGAGACAGACAACCAACAAGGTGGACTTTGGACTGGCACGTACAGAAACAAACATCGCCCACAGATAACAACAGTGGGAGGCATCGTGCTAGGTGATGCTGATGAAGGTTAGTGGAGACGTCGCATTTGTGGCAACCCCCCCCAAATTAAGAACCCTCTTAATACATCCTTCCCTCGGGAAATGCCTCCATGAGAGATGAAATGATAGATCCCAAAAGCGGAAGCTAAAAGAAAAAAAAAAAAAAAAAAAAAAAAAAAATGGGAGGGGAAGACGCGAGTCAATCTTACATAGAAACCCAAAAAAAAAAAAAAAAAAAGAAAGGAACAACAAGGAAAGGAACAGGTTAACTTACCAAATGCTTCTACGCAAATCCTACAGACACCAACGACAATCAAGTCAAACATGTCCCTACTGTATCAGATAGCATCTCCATGCGCCTCGATGAACAGATCGACAAAGCCTTCAAAGAAGGTGATTGCAAAACCTACGACCGCTTGACGGAAGAGAAGAAGACCTGGTTAGCCTTCTTGGACAAAGGGAAGGAAAAACCAACCACGGAGTCAACCAAGAAAACATCCAAATCCGAGAGGAAAGTCATGAAGGTTCAGACAGGAGAGATGATCAATGATCATCTAAACGCACTCTCACCCTATTGGGACACGGCGTTGAAGGACTTCAGTCGCTACATTCCCCTCTCGATTTTCGACCCGGCGTGGCTACGCCAAGACATAACCTTTGTGTTGAACAAGTCGTCCCGGGCGAAAACCAAAGACGCGGACTCTAACGCGTATAATGGTTCCCCGATCCCTAGCGAGTGGAGAACAACGGTGGCACAATGGCACAGACAAAAAGACCTCTTCTTATTATACCTCAAACGGTACAAACAGACAGAAGTCCTCCCAGTCATGAGGAAACACTTCGAGAACGTCCTGCAAATACAACGAGAGAATGACGGGTGTTGGGTGCTAGCGTATCGTTATGACTTGATGATGAGACAAACCTACCTCGTCTTCAAAGTGGGTGAAGACAACTCCTCTATGGCGGACATCAGTATCCGAAACCCCACGATACTACGCCTCGCAGAGAGAGATACGCTCAGACAACACGATGACATGTTTCTCGATAATCCGTACGCCCTGAATGGAACCAAAAGCTTCATAGATCCTCTAGACGGGTCCAACTGGTCAGGTCGGCAGACCAAATGGGACGACCCAAGCCGAGTAGACGCAAAAGAAGACAGAGTCGAAACGTCAAAATCGACTCAGTCAGCTCGGTCATCAATGTGGTCTCAAGCTAGACACGAACCTCACGAAAATGTCAACGCCTTCCAATCCACCCCTCAAGTGTTCCATCACTATACCCAACCAGCGGTAAATCATCAACAGTACGCGGCAACAAACGCCCAAGGGTACTTCCAACAGAACCTCGGCGACCAAAGTACGGTCCGGATGAACCCGAATTTCAGGGGAAAACCGCAGAACTTCAACCCTAATTATAGGAAAGAAGGGAACAAAGGCGGGAGGGGGAACGTAAGAAGAGGAGGAGGCAATTGGGGTAGAAGCCAAGGGGAAAGCAATGGAGGTAACCAAGGCGGTTCGAGTTCGCAGGTGAACAGAACAAACGCATCTACAGATGTAAGTCAAAAGAAGTGAGTATGACATGTGACAGAACGCAATGAAACACAAACATTTGAGAGTCATGACCCACATTCCATCCCAATCCATGACTTAGTGAGAGTGAGAGATGAATGAGAGCTGACTATGATGTATCTTACTATGTAAGGAAACCGTCTGAGACAGAAAGCATGTCAGACATAGAGAACACAGGTGAAATACCGAGTGAAGAACCACTCACAAACCCAAGAGGTAACATCGACTTCAGGCACCCTGGCAACCCATCAAGCAGCCCGAGAGGGAAATGGCCCACAAAAGCGGAATGTGAATTAAATATACCCGAGTGGGAACAACTTATGATCGAACTAGACCTAGTTGAAGAGTGGGGAGACGTTTTAGTCAGCCTCAAAGAAGGCTTCCATCAAGGGATTCCCGAACATACAATAGAGGGCCTGCCATGGTACACCCCAGCAAATCAGACATCAGCACTTCTCGTACGAGACAAGATAGAGAAGACCATAGAAAAAGAGAGACTAGAAGGGAAACTGTATGGACCGTTTACTCACCAAGAAGTCGAAAGACACTTTGATTTCTTCCGATCTAACCCGATGGGGAGCGTGACAAACAGCAATGGCACCTTCCGGATGATAAACAATTTATCGTTCCCGAAACATGGAGCAGACATCCCAGTGAGTACAAAAAAAAAAAAAAAAAAAGAGAGAGAGAAGGAAGATGACAAAGGAAGATAGGATACTCACATAGGCAATGATAGTCTGTAAACTCGTTTGTAGATAAGAACGAATTCATCACAACCTGGGATGACTTCAAAATCCTTGCAGACTTCCTACGGAAATCAGATCGAACTTGGCAGTTGGCGCTGTTTGACTGGCTTAAAGCCTACCGACAAATCCCTACTCACCCGTCCCAGTGGAGATACCTCCTGATCCTGGACTTCTACAACTGCTTGTGGGTCGACACCAGAGTGGGATTCGGGGGAGTGGCGGGATGCGGCACGTTTGGCAGAGCGGCCGACGTATGGAAGGAGATCATGCAAAGAGCGCTTGGCATCCCCAAAATCTTTTGTTGGGTCGATGACAACCTACTCCTACGAGAGACAGATTCGAATATAAGTATGGAATCAGTATTGCAACTCAGCGCAGGAATGGGAGTGAAAAGTAATCTTACCAAATATGCCGATTTCGAAGATGAGCAGAAGTATTTAGGCTTCATCTGGAACGGTAGAGAGAAAACCGTCAGACTCCCGACGGAAAAATTAGAAACGAGGATCAAACAAGTAAAGGCTCTACTTAGCGGAGAAAAGTGGAAGAAGAAACCCATCGAGAAACTGGTGGGGCAACTATGTCACATAACCTACATAATGCCTGATATGAAATGCTATATGAGGGAGCTCCATGGATGGAAAGGCGCATGGCGAAACGGGGAAGCAAGGAGAGGAATCACAGAATCAGTGAGAGACGACCTTGAGGAATGGCTAGAAGTACTCACCAATTTAAAAAACATGAGAATCATACCGACGCTGGAGCCAGAAGACATCAAGTGGGTGGGAGACGCATCCACTTCGTATGGAATTGGCGTGCTAATTGGCAGAAACTGGGCGAGGTTCAAATTGAAACCAGGCTGGGACGTCATAGGTGAAGATCGAGTGAAGCGTAACATTGCCTGGATTGAAACAGTGGCGGTTCGACTTGGACTACTGGTCCTGCTGAAGCTGAAAGAAACTAGAGGGAAGTGTTTCATTGTCTGGACAGACAATACAACTACTGAAGCTGCGATCCGAAACACCAGATCAAAAGATCAGGCGGTAAATAATGAGTGGAAACGGATTCAAAAACTACTAACCACTCACCAGTGTTCAATAAAGCAAGAGCGGGTTACCTCAGGAGATAACAACACGGACGCCTTATTGAGAGGTTTAGAAACCAACCTCGCCTGGCACGAAGAAGTGGTGATCGATACCCCCACCGACCTAATCCCATTCCTAACACAAACATAATTAGGAGACTCAAGCAAACATGAACGCAGACCCCACGTCGGGAAAGAAAGACCTAGACCTAAGGAAAATCAAAAACTTCATGAGCGACCGGAATGGAATGGTGACATGGGATAACGACCCAGTCCAGAGAATGATGATCCTAGGTGGAAGCTGGTCGAGAGACACCCTGATTCAGTATAACTCGGCGATCACAAAATACATGACCTTCGGAAGAGAAACAGGGCAAGACAGGACTCAACTCTTACCAGCCACCGCACGACAAATCCTCCTCTTCATCCAATGGGCAGCGCCGAAAGCAGATGGCGAACCGAAGACCAACCAAGAGATAAAACCCTCCACCATAGAGGCGTATCTTTCGGGCCTGAAAGCGTGGCACCTCTACCACCACCTTTGATGCCGAGAGGTCGAACAAAAAGAAGTGAACCTAGTTTTGAAAGCCGCAAAGCTACTCGATGCTCGATCAGAAAGCAGACCCCAGAAACGACCCGTCCAAGTCAAACACCTCGCTAGCTTACTACGAAACCTAGAACGAAACGACGAGGCAACAGAACTGTCAGTAACAATCGCTCTAGTGGCCTTTTGGGGCATGGCTCGATTGGGTGAACTCACCTCACTCAATGAGTCGAAAACGATCACGATCAACGACGTAAAGATATCGGACGACGAACAAGTCATGTCGATAGCATTGAGAGAAGCTAAAACAGCAAGACCCGGCGAAGTCCAATACCTGCAACTGAGACGCCACCAATCCCTACTCGACCCGGTGTCAGCTGTCAAAAGATTAATAAAACGACACATCGACTTTGGGTCATACCCAGAAGACCCCTTGTTTGCATATGGGATGTCAAGTCCGGGAGGTCGCACGCGATTAACAAAAGGAGGAGTTATGAGCCTACTAAGGAAAGCTTGGGTCAAGGATGGATACGAAGGACTCACCGGCCATTCCTTCCGGGTGGGGGGCGCCTCCTTCCTGTGGAATGAAAGCGTACCATTAAACCAGATAACATCAAGAGGTCGGTGGAAATCCAAAGCGTACGAAAGGTATCTAAGGAAATTTGATGAAGAGGAGAAAGAGGAAAGCAGGCACTGGTTAAAGAGAATGGAGATTAAGAAAAGACAAACGTAGGAGGAGTCAGGAGAATCAGACTCGAAAGGAAAGGTTGACCCGAACCTGATTTACGAAAGGTTTAACCAATACTCGAACTGAGGATGAGATGAATGCAATAATCAGCCACAATGCATTTAAAGTTTCACCCCATCTAGACCACAATACAGGGGGGATCTGCAGGCTTGACGCCATACAGAAACCTTGTGTTACCTGAGAGAACAGGTCCTAGTGAGCTCGGGGCTCTCCGATACCCCAAGGTAAGGTAGGCTAGGACAACTCTCTTTGGTACCCCTTTTTCAGGCACTTTACACAGTTTAGAGCCCGGAACACACCGGGGACCAGAAACCTCTAGGGCCTCTGACGTAGGCCCCGAGGTGACCCCGGTACGTTTCCACACTCTGGACCCCCCCCACACTATTCTCAACTTAGGGAATCCTAAGTTAGGATGGCATAAGGCTGAGAAGGGATATAGATAGTTAATAAATGTAACTAGATACAGTCAATTTCATAAAGGTTGAAATCGAGTCGTTTTGAAAATCGAGAGGTGGTCCGTGCGCCACCTGTGACAGGTAGCGAAATCACCTGTGAGATGGAATCACATTCAGGATTGGAACCTTTGACAACTGTTGAGCTCTCAGTCTGTCGTGGCGCAGCAGTTTGTGGCCACGGTACCTCGGTGCGATGTTGCCTGTAGATCCCATGTTCGACTCACCGTTTCCCCTTTTTTGCCACCGTTTTCGTCTATAATCAATGATGGCAGCAAATGCACGCAAACAAAAATGGCGTAGTTTGTTCCATTTTTTTTAGTTCATGACACCGAGCAAATAAAAAAGGGGAAAACTGGTCAAAAAATGTGAAGTTGAAAGAAAGCCATTGGGGCTCGAACCCAAAAATATATGATAATAGCAAGAGGTTCTAACCCGAGAAGAGGGCGTTAATCCGACTGTGCCAGAAGGCTTTTAAGAGTTGGGTGGCTATGCTGTCCAGATTAGCATGTTTGTATGCATATCCGACACCTGTCACAGGTGGCGCACGGACCACATCTCGATTTTCAAAACGACTCGATTTCAACCTTTATGAAATTGACTGTATATCCGAGAAATAAAAAGAGCTTGTTCACCTAATACTTACCAAACGAGCAGAGATAGATCACGGAAATCAATGACAGGAAAGCATTCAATCCAGTAAGATTCGAAGAACTACTTGGTGAAGACAAAGCTGAATACGTTGTAAATTGGATTGACAAAGGAGCAAAAGAAGAAGGACCTGGTATGTACTTCATTCAACTTCTTGAAAAGGTTCCTCTCATTGAATTGACTTTCTTCAACTACAAATTCTCATGACCGATCGTGTTTGATTACAGAATTTGATAAGTTGAAACAGCTTTATGTAAAGAATCATGGAGTCGGGCCGCTATCCAGGGAGGTAATGGCTGACTGGATCAATAGGCATCTAGCACGCATCGGGGAGAATCAATATAATCCAGCAGCAGGTTCAAAAACGCAAGACAAGATCATGGCTAAGCATTTGAAATTATGGGAGGAAATGAGCTGACTCATTCTTGGCTTGATTAAAATCAATTCTCTATACATAAATGTATTCCTTTTCAAAATGTCAAAAGGTTATTTGTATGGATAAGTTTGTACAACACCATTCAACTCAACTGGTATTCACTAGCATCTGATTGATGAAGATACAAGATAGCGGATTAGTTCTTTGACCACGTTCATCACAATCATTGGGGGATGGTCTCATGTTGGGCTCGTGCGAGCAACAGGATTGACCCTATAGCTCGACACGACTTATGATCACATCACAGGATCATATTATCGACAAAAGAGGGCATGGTTATCTCCATTACACATTACCAAAACTCCCCAACCACGCGCTCTTTATATACTCAAATCATCAATCACTTTTCCTTGAGTAATTATAAGATCCATAATTCATTGAACCCAACATCTATCTCCTTCTTTTTGATTTCCGCGTCCCTCCTCGTGGTCGAGGATAAATGAACTGGTTTTCGCCATCCGGGAGCAGCAATCATCAGATTGAATGATATTCGACCAGCTGCTGAGCGCTGACATAGCTGGAGTCTGGACACGTCACAAGGTGACTGAAATCTGGACCAAAAGGAGGGGATGGTATGTGCTTTAACTACATATAGAGTTACTTTATACACAATTTGAGCTTCCTTTCAGACATCAAATATTTTTCTACTGAATAATTACTTTCTGCATTCTCTCGCCGAAGTTATCAGCTTACACGAGACACGTAAAGTCCACTCCCGATCATTCATAGTTACCTCGATTGGTTTTTAAGATGAGGACATGTCCCTTTCCGAGAATGAAAAGGTACGGAGTATATAGAGGGCTGATCGAAATGGATAGTGATCTTGACATTGTGATCAGCTGTTTGCTCATGTCACGGGGGATATTACCGGTCCTTACCAAGGCAAAGATAGCTTTTGTGAGCCAGATCCCGCTTAAAAAAAGGTACAGAATGACGAGATCAAATTAATTTGAAAGGAGAGAAAGACAGCCCTAGCTCGAATGCAATTATTGGTGTTCTGCCCTATATAAAGGGCAGCTATGCTCCTTCACATCTTTATCCGTAGCACACATTTTTCCATCCAATTTTCCCGCTCCTCCAAATATCTTGATATTCGTTAAAATCAGCTCTTCTACTTTCAGAACTATTCAATTTGAACTAGTATCACCAGCTCATCTCAACCTCTTTATTTTAACAAGTCCAACGACTTTTCCCTTCTTCACCAAAGATGAACTCCCGATCCACTTCGCCTTCTCCTCCCCAGGCTTCATTCTCACCCCTCCAAGACGAGACTAGTCATGAGTCCATCTGTGCGACCCGGCCTGCTGATGATGCACGCCCGATGCACAATCAACACGTATTGAGACGTCAGTTGATCCTTTCACTTCTTTCTTCTTCACTTCACTACAATCGGGCTCACAGTCGAATCCTGTTGGCCTGTAGCACTTCGTCCAATGCCAATTAGACATCGAGGCAAGGAAGACACCATCACACGGCCAATTCGGCAACGGACTGCTTCAATTTCTCAGCTCATCAGGATGTTTGACACCTTGACTGATGGCGAGGATATGGTGGCCCCTTTTTATTCCTTTGGTCATGATACCGACTCCGACTCTCCACCATCATCACGCGTGGCACACTTTTCGATTCCTCATCACATGATTGATTGGTCGCGAGATGTGACTTTGGACGCATTGACTCTACCAAAGTGGGGAGATTCACAAGTCACTCGATCAATCAATCCAAGCCAAACCTTAGATCCTCTCATAAATCAAGGTGTAGAAGAAAACTGTAGAGGACCTAGACGTCGGAAGCGTAGCTCGGAACAACGACAACTAGAGTTTATACCACGACCTCGAATTTCTCCACATACACCGGGTGACGCAACGGATGTGATAGAACCAAGGAAGAGAAGAAAGAGATGCAATGAAATCTGAAGGATCTCAATTTGGGTTGATCATGATGGTGGAAAGATCTTTATCAAGAGATGTTTGTACTAGTAGGCAATTTGTTGAGAAGGTGAAGGTGTTTTCGAGGTTTTGTGTGAGCATGAGGAACGAAAGCTTGGCCCATGAGATTGTCTTTTTCTTTTTCTCGATTCTTTTTCTCAATTCTTACTCCCATTCTTCTTTTCATCCTTCTTTTTGCTCTCATTCTTATTCTCATGATTTTCGTAGTTTTTCTTTTTGATTGTTTTTGTTCTCAATGACATGCATCCACACAGGTCAGTATATATCTCGCTAGTATAACTAAATTTTTAACCTCGTCATATCTTTTGATACGCTTACATCTTCTTGTGATTCCATGATCAATCTGATGCATGTCGATTTTTTCTCGTCAACGTGGTTCATAATTCACATGAAAAGTAATTTGGTCAGACATTTGACTATTCACATTGACCATATTAACAAGAGAAGTGTTTGTAACGCATCTTCAAACATACAATCTTCGCTGAAAATTTACTCCCCGCCATGTTTTGATGTTGGAAGAACTCTCCTGCTGAACACAGACCCCAGGTCTATGTAAAGCTACGACTAAATTTGTATGGAAATGATTGCTCAACATATATCATGAGCATGAAAGTCTACACACCAGCTTCAGAAAACAGGATCACACAATCCTCAGGCTCCACTGGTCAGAAAACGAAATAAGTGTCAGAAGATCAATTTGTATCTTTGTTGCCATCGTAGCCCTGATCATCGCGCCACATTCCCCTCTTTCAAGTTCACGGTCTGTTTTGAAGGATAGCACGTTAAGCTAAGGACAAGCTCAAAGTCGGCATGGTCGATGAGGTTTCACAGCTAGCTAATCCGCCATCTACAAACTGTACGATTCTGCGTATTTCATTATTCACCATCAACCTATGACATATCTCAACCCTTGTCAAGCTTCATTCCCATTCGTTCGCGGTCACCTCTGTTGTATTTGTAAGATGAGGTCATGTGCCTTTCCAAGCAGGAAAAGGTACAAAACAGAGAAATGCATACTGATCTTGATATTGTGACCAGTTGTTTGCTGAGCAAAAAAATAAGTTACAGGTACCGTTCTACGATTGATGAGGAATGTGACCTTACCAAGGCAAAGATACTTTTTGTAAGTTACAGCCCACTGAGAATAAAGGCACAGAATGACGAGAACAAATTGATATTCTTTCTCTTTTGCCCTATATAAAAGCGTACCATGTTCCTTCATCTTTATCTTCAGCACACATCTATCTATCAGATTTTCCCGCTTCTGACATTATCCAATTCTTTTACTTCAATATACTGAGAAACCATTTAAAATCAACTTTTCTAGTAACATCACTTCTCATCTTGTACTAGCATCAGCAACTCATCCCAACCTTATTCTTTTATCAAACCCAACACATCACACAAAATGCACTCCCAATCTTCATCGCCTTCTCTTTTCCAAGGATCATTCGTACCATTTCACGAAGAGACCGCCGAACCCATGTGTGTAACGCAGGTCGCTTTTGATGATCGCTCGGTGTGTGATCAAGAAGTCTTAAGACGTCAGTTAACTTTTACTCCCTTCTTCCTTAATCCAATACCATCGAGCTGACAATCTGATCTTGCTCGCCTGTAGAGTTCATTCCAATGCCATATAGGCATTGTCATCACGATGAACCAATTGTACGGCCAATGCGACAAACCTCGGCCTCAACTTCTCATATGATCAACATGTTTGATCACTTGACTCATACCGAAGAGACGGAATCCAACGCATCAACGTCTCCCAACGTCGGTATCAATGCACGCCTCAAATACCAACACTCATCCAGTCGAGACCCTACTACACGCCCTCAGGATCACAAAGGGGCGAGCCCATTCGATATGGCGATGCAATCTGGTCATAATGCCGACGTAGACTCCCGATCATCACCGCATATGGCGCCTTCTTCTGTACCTCATGACATGATTGATTGGACGCTAGATGTGACTTTAGACGCATCATCCCTTCCGATCTGGGAAGACCCGGCACCAGCAACGCGATCCATAAACGTCAACGTGGATTGTCTCTTGGATCATCAGAGTGTAGAAGAAGATTGTATAGGGGATACCCGTCGTAAGCTGATCTGGGATTACACACCAAGACCACCTCTCTCAAAACGCTCTCGCCATAACACTCCACCTAATCCGAATGACGAAAGGGATGTGAATGTGGAAGAGCCAAGGAAGAGAAGGAAGAGATGCATTTGATCCTGAATGGTCTCAATCCGGTTAGATGGTACAAAGATGATTTACTAGAGATCCTTGTAGGCGGTTTATTGAGATGGTGAAGGTTTTGGAAAGGTTTTAATTGATCAGGAATGTAGACTTGAACATGGGCTATGGGATCGTATTTTTTTATCATCTTTATTTTTTATTTCTTCTTATTCTACTTTTTATCTTTATTCTCAGTCTTACTCCATTTTTCTTTCTTATTTCTTAATGTTGTTCCTCTCAATCGGATGCATGTAGCTGGCCAGGATATATATATCTCTCAGTCAATGTGTACAACCAACATATCTTTTTAATCTTATATCTTGTTGTGATCTCATGACCAATTTGAATTATCTTTCTTCCTTTTTAAGAAGTTCACAACTCGCATGAAAACCAATTTGGCCAGATACTTCATGGTCCATATTATACTGTTCTCAAGTTATTTTCAAACATGCAATCTTTAGTATTACTGATCAAGATTGAATCAATACTATTTTATAGCTATTATCTCCTGAGAGGCTCAGATCATATCTTCTTGATATCTCCAATCATCTTCCCTTAGAAAAATACAAAAAGGAAATCATTAAAATAAAAAAATCTCATTTATCCACACATCATTCGAATTATAATTACATTTCGATGTTTATCAATTCCATTCTCATCTAACAAAGTTCAACTTTCAAATCAAATCAAATCAAAAATTTAAATTTCAACCTTTCAACTTACCTATCAATTAATCCATTAAATTGTCTTTGATGACCACCAGTAGATCCATCAACAATGATTTCTAGAACAGTTTCTTTTAATAACCTTTGAAACTCTTTCAATTGATTTTCTTCCAATAAACTTTCTTGAATCTCTTCAATTTCAACATTCAATAATCTATCAATAATCTCAATTGATAAAATCTTTCTTTCTTCTTTCTTTTTAGATTTTTGTTTCTAATTCGACAAAAAGAAAATAAAACTCAAAAAAATTAGTCTTGATGAAGTAAAGAAATAAATAAATAGATTGATTTTTCTTTTTCACTTACCGATAAGTATTCTAACATGATCGTAAATGCATCTTCAACAAACCCAAACCTTAAAAAACAATCTACCAATCGATCGAATTGATCAAGTTGATTTCTAAACCAATCCAACAACCAAATCGGAACTTTAACCCCTCCAATCCCAGTTTCAAGTATAGATTCCAATACCACCAATCTTTCATCAATCCCACCAAACTTATCTAAATAAAACTTTAATAACCACCAAGCTTTACTCATTAAAGTGCCTTCAAGTTCATAAGCTTTAGAATCATTCAAAACCCATTCTCTATCAAACCCATTCAAGATTTCAATTTCTTCTAAATCTAAACTTAATCTGCAACATGATTCACTTAAACTTTTAAAAATCATCACTAGATTTGAGGATCCTAATTTGATCGATTTCTCGATCCCTTCTTTAATTTTACCTTGGTTTATAAACATTGGAATCAATGTCGGTTCATCTAAATATGATGGATTAATTAATTCAGGTGAGATTGCTTGATTGAATTGGTTTGATAATTCTAATCTAGATAAAGATAATGTATATTCTTTTCGTAAATCGCTTAATGTTAAGATTTCTAAATCAACTGTATGTTTACTAAATTCGCTTTCAGGTACATAATATGTCATCCTTCTTCTTTTACGTGGTAAATGTGTATGTTTCGAAATCGGTTCTATAGTTGATGTACTTGGATACGCTGTAGGTGCTTCGATTTGTGGTTTTGGACATGCTAATGGAATCCAAGCGTGTTTAGCTGGAACTAAGGAAAGTGCATTGATTGCTGCTAGATAGCTTTGACATTGTTGAGTCATTAAGCACTGGTATGCGTCTCCACCTGCTCCTTTCATGGTCACTTCGCCAACCCGTTTACCGTGTTGATACATTGCCATGCCAGCTATATCAATAGATTAAATCATATCAGTTCCTAATCACATCTACAAAGAGAAAGCTGAACATACCACTACGGCAATCTCCTTTGGTAATATGATACGCATATAGAACTTGATAATAATTAGGTGTTGACATAGGATCCGAGTTCCTAGCTCTGAACGAGATCGTCCTTTCAAATTCATTTTGAAGTCCCAAGAATGAAAACCTCAATAACTGGTCTACTTCATTCGCTTCACACATACTCGATACCAAAGTTCTTAAACAGTTATGTTTCCTATACCAAAGAACACTCCAGAAAGTTAGTCAAACCAAATCTCGAACCAGATTAGAAGAAAACACTTACACTTCAGTAGATGGAACCGATACTAAAGCCTGATAAGCATCTTCCCACATTCTTAAATTCACAAATCCCTTAAACATCTTATTCCATAATTCTACGGACCTTCTTTCTTGCTCTTCGTTGCTGTCTTCCTCTTCTTCGTCATCATCATCAGTACAATTTAATGCAAGTTGACAAAACCTAGTAATGGCTAAATCTACACCAAATGGTTCAAGGATCGAGACTATATATTCATAATAGGATCTTAAATTTTGACCAGCTTCGGTGGGTAGGATTCGAACAAGACCACTTTGATCATCCAATTGAAAATTCGGGTCATCTTTTGAGGAAAATGAATTCAAATGGTCATAAATGAAAAAGTGAAGATCAGCAAAACTCGAGAAAAATTTTAAAGTGACCAAAAGATGGAAAAAACTTACAAATAGCAGAACTAGCTTTAACAAAACAACTTTCAGCATCTTCAATCTGACCTAATTCTAATAAACCCAAACCTTTCAAAAACCACATTCCAGCACCTAAATCAGGATAAAGTTCAATAAGTTCTAAAGATAATGTATGAAGTCCTACTTTAATTAAGAAATCGATCAATTGAACATTTTTAGGAAACGTATGAATCATTTTAAATTTCTCTAATGATTCATTACTAAGATTTTCAAGATTAGTTAAAAGTCCAGTTTGATTTAAAAAACTTGAAGCTGATTGAGTTAATGAAATCGAAAGACATGTATCTACCGAAACTTCAGGTAAGAACTTAGTTAACAAAAGTGAACTGATTAAACAAATCGAAGAAGCAGGTTCTAAGTTTTCAAATCCACCAATCTCTAAATTAGGACTAACATGTAAACTAGTTAATTTATTGACTAAATGATCTTCAATTTCTAATGCGAGTTCAGATGAAATCTTAGATGATTGTTGATTGATCCATCTTAAGATCATCACTTGATGAAATGTAAAAATAAATTTAGACAAAATCGAATTAAAATCTTCAAAGTATTGTTCGATTTCTTCTTCTCCATAAACGTAGAGTAAAAAGATCACTACATTCTTGGTGACTTGATATCGAGTTTCGATCGAATTCATCAATAAATCGGTTAATAACATTTGACTTAAGATTGTAGGAGTTGCTAATCTACCACTTGTGGGTGTATCTTGATCCGATTCAGATTGAACTAATTCCGTGGTGGTGAGAATGTTCCATATCAGATCCAGTGTCAGTGGAAGGTCTTTGATGGATTTAAGCTGTGTGGAGACCCTGATCTGTAAGTCATCTTCAATAAATGGTTCTAACCTTCGACTGAACAAATCTTCAGCCATATCGACGAACGAGAACTTCGAAGGCCTCCTTATAGTCTGTAAGAGTTCTTCTTCCAATGGTTTCACCACATCCAACGATGAGATCCCCGATAAAAGTGTTTTGGTAGTATTAATAAGGTTGATAAGATCAATTCGGTTGTTAAGATTACTAAGAAGTGGATGAAATTTATCGATGTCAGATATCTGTTGTCGAAGCAAGATGGGTTTTAAATTAGCTTCTTCTTCCTTGGCAATTTGAAGCATCAAGGTGGTTGTATCGATCAAGACAGGTGCAGTAATCGAACGTCGACCAAAGACCAAGACCATTTGTCGATCTGAATCCACGGCAAGCTCGATAGGCCAAAGTGCAGATGCTCGACTCTCAGAACACATAGCCGCAAACTTTAACCATTCGATCCTTAGCTTTCTGTGAAAGACATCCATCATGGGCGATCCAGTGATACTAGAGATTTCTAAAGACACATTTGAACCCACGATCGCGCAAATCTTTTCTTCAAGACTTTCGAAATCATTGGTTGAATCGATCATGTCACCACCTCTTTCCATCAATAATTGTTCTTCATAAGTAGCAAGAGCATGTTCGAGTGTAGAAGGAGAATAATGACCCGGTTTGAAAAGATGATCAATGAAAACTTCAGATACACTCAAGTTAGAATGATCAGTAATCAACTCATCAAAATAAGTTGAATTCCAAGGAGTAGCTCGATCAGGTGGAAGAATCGTCATCCAATCTGTTCTAGGTAATTCTTTCCAACTTCTAGTTTCATGTAAAAGAGCATATCTTATGATCCCTTCACCACCTACTTCATCATCCCAAACAGTCCACAGTCCTAAAGGTTTTTGTGAAGGTGAAGTAGAAGATTGATGAGAAAGATCAACGCGTGAGATTCGAAAGTCGCGTAATTCACTGGTAGATTGATTTGGAATTGATTGAAATCCGATTTGACAATGCCGTTCTTCTAATAAAATCAAATTACTGAACCGATGATCGCTTGTCATTGACATTCCAAAAGTGATAAAACTTGGTGAATGAATTGAAGGAACGAAGACTACCAAGAAACCTTCATACGTAGGATCATCACCTTCATCTGAATATGCAAATCTAGCTAATGCTCTAGGTGCAGCAGGTAATAAAGAAACATCTCGACGATCTTCTTGAATGGTAGGTTGATTTGATATCGATTTGCTTCCTAGCGAATGTTCTCTTAAACATTCACCACTTGCTAAACTCCAAACTCTTAATTTCCTATCTCTACTAATAGTAAATATCCAACCGTCTTCACCACTTCCACCTGTAGTCACATGACTGGTAATTGAGATTGTAGAACTTGGAGTAGCGACCCATTCATGTGCTGAACTACTGATCGTCTTTGATGAATTCCATGTGGGTAATAAACCCCAGATTCCATTCCTTGTAGTCAGATTACTTGATTTCCATCCATATTGATCTTCGATTCCAACTAATTTACCCCAAGAAAGATGAGTTAAAACTCCATCTGTACAAGAAATCACTAAATTATTAGAATCAATTCCATGATATAAGATCACCAATCGATTTATAATGGCTTCTACTTCTATATCAGATGACCAATCTTCTTCAAATAATTCAGCATAAAACAAATGAGGTGCCGTGAATTTTAATCGATATAGAATTGATGCTTCAGTTAGAACTAAAATGATTAAACTATTATCGTTTGGATCTGTTGTAAGATAAGGTGTTGGAATGATTTTATCACGAAATCTGAATTGAACTGGTGGATGACAACCTGATCTATCTAAAGCGGACAGACTTTCATCTTCGTCATCTTCTGTATCTTCTTCTTCTGCTTCGTCTTCTTGATCGTGTTTTGAGGTCGATGATAATTTGATTGAACTTAACCATCTTAATTCTAAAGAATAACCATCGTTTAAAACTGAAGCTTTTATGAAACCATTTGAAGTGTTTGAAGGAAAGTGAGTAATAGATTGAGATGAATGCGACGATTGGAATGACGATGATGACGATGATGGTGTTGTTGTTGTTGAAGTAGTTGAAGTAGATTGAATGGTATCGGGTATTTGATATTCTATGACTGATTCGAATGGAGGTCTGAGTGAGTCTATGAAAGTAGTAGCAGTACTCAAGTTTGAATAGCTCAGCATTCTTTCTGTTCGATTGGTTCAAAGTTGAGGGTAAACAGCCTACCATTCACTTTTTGGGTCTTCGATCAAATTTTCATACCAACAATACATTTTACCATCACGCGTCAAAACTACAGTTTTATGAAATACATTCTTCTTCGCAGATTGTCTGGGTCTCGAAAGCCAGCTGAGGAAATAAAGCTGAGCCTTGGAGGATCATGACCATTCTTCTGCTTCTGAAAACCTCCTATGGGTATATATGTACCTCATCAGAATTTGTCAAAATCCTCACACATCCTCACCGATACTGTGTACGACGGGATTTTGCAGAGTTTGAGCTGATGAGCAGCACTTTCTGTGATGCGTTTTGACTTCCTCCCTTTAAAGACCACTCGATTTTGATATACAATCGTGGTCCCCAAAGAACATCATTGTATTTCTAAACCCTCTGATAAAAAGATATTTTTCATTGATCTGAAGATAGTGCTGGCTCACTCTTGAGCACTCTGGATTCAGATTCCTCGCCAAAATATAATATACCTCTTGTAATAATGTGTCATTCTTGGCACATTGAATGAGAAAATAGTTTTTGAGCAGGCCTGAACTTGAAGGTTTACTGTCTCAAAAACCCACATTGAGAGTAAAAGCCAATCAGGTAGGAACAAAGGCATACGAACTGAATGTTTGATGGGCAGGACGAGGCGGTGAAGGAGAAGTTTGTTTTTGAGGCGGTGCTATGTCTTCTTCATTCACTTCATTTGCACAAAGCTTATTGGACGAATTTCACGAGGGTATGAGTTGGTTCGGATAAATTCCAGGTCCATGCATGTCAGATTTAGATTTGGATCAGGATAAGTAGCGAGAATATCTGCGAGGGATCGATGATTGTAAACGTATGTGGGTATATTTTGGTTGAACTTGCACTGCCACAAAGGTAGAAATCGACTGGTGAAAAAGTCTACAACTCGAGCTTTGATATCAACCTAAACGGACGCAGCCGAACGGGAGGGAGTTCGATTTACATAGATTTCTTCGGCAATTTGGCAATAGCAATCAAAGTTCAAATAGAGCTCTTCAGCTTGATTGAACGGTTTACAACTGGTCTTGTTGCAGTAATTCACCACATCCGCCCTCGCTCGACAACCGTCTTTTCATCCAAGCACGTCACGAAAGTACTTTGAGATGTTGACCCAAAATATGCGAGCAGCAATCGCGGCCAGTCTCATGCTAGGATCACTTAACCTCTCTGGTCACAAGCTCGCATGCACACCTGAAGAAATTTGCTTCTCAACGAAGGGGGGGCGTTCAAGTCACAGTTTGAAGAAGAAGCATGAGGTACAAGACTGTAGGGAGGGGGGGAACGCTCGCAACATGTTACACGATGATTGAGCTTACAGGATTCTTTCAACTTCCAATCTCATCAAGTTGTTATGAACCAAGTTGAGGCAAATCATTTGAGCAAACTCAGAGCTCTTGGATGCTGTGAACCATCAACGACGACACCAAACTGGACAACCTCGAATCGGCAATAAGCCCTCAAGCTTTAGCTTTCGCATATATAGACTAAGCTCTTTAGCATTAGTATCAATCAGTTTGGAGACAATTCTGTGAATCCCGATCTTCCTTGATTTCTCTACTTACTATTTCTCTTCATCTTTATAACATCTTATCTCTCCTCGAAACCGTGCCTTCAGTTCAATCACCGCTCATTTATATATAAACATCCTAGAACAGTCACATCAAAAAAACTGCTGAATTCCATCGAGGTCATATTGATTTTGACCATCAGCTTTCCATCTTCAGCTCATATATAATACAACTACCCTGGAAATCTCTTCCTTAGACTCTTTTCGCTCAAGACAATGGAGAATTGTAGCAACAAATCAACTTTGTTTCTCACAAGCGCTTTCATTGGCCTCCTGATTGCTACCCATGCTTGTGCTACTGTTCTTATGCCTCGCCAGATGATTGCCGCTCAAGCCAACACCCGCATGATGTCAGAGGGCTGTCCGAATCATGGAGGTGCTCAAACAGCTTGCTCAGTGGTGTCTGGAAACTGGAGCACCAAGTCATATAACTGCCCCAAAGTAAGTCGTGTTCGCTTCATGTGGACAGACTTACACAGCTTTGATTCTTCTAAAACAAAAGTTTCCTGATTATTTTGGCCTCTCTTATCACAGAGCACGATCTCGGCAGCGGCACTCATGACTGTTACTGATGCGATCCTCATAGACACCAAGAATGCTAAGAAAGTCACGACTTGGCCAGGTTTCCCGACCACCTGTAAAGGCGAAAAATACTATGTTGATCATGGTACGTGAGATTTACGCTTGTTCTTTGTTTCATCACAGATGAAGCTCTTGATTTTGATCCTGCCTGATATCTCTGTGCGTCTCTGGTGATAACTTCAAACCATTTATGTTCAGGTTCTTGGACCTTGTTTTACTCTGTCGCAGCTACGTGTCAGTGCAAAGATGATGTGACTCCAGATTGCAATGGTGCAACTGGACTGAGTGAAAAAGCTTGTAACATTGCCAGGTATGTTCAGATCTTTCTTTGTTGAAAAACATTCTAGCTTTTATATCCAAATACCTTTATAAAATTCATCGAATAATTTTAAAACTAATTGTATCTTAATACTTTCTCTTTCAAAAATGAAATCATCTAGCTTTGACCTTTGTGGTTTGATTGAAAAGGATAACCCATCAGTTCCTTGTACGGCTGCCTAATTCTATATATCAAAATCAAAGACAAACACACGTATATGTCTTTTGAAGATTCGGCATGATTCAATTCATATCTTGACGTTCACGAAGCCTCAAAGTTTTTGATATCAACTTCCCCAGTACTCTACCTCTTTTGTGTCTCCATTTGTTGTTATCTGTATGTGTGGCAGAATAACAAAAGCATCGCATACTTGTTTACTTGATTGATAGCTCAAAAGTAAATGTATTTCAAATTAAGACTTCTCTCCATTGACTGAAGGCTAAGCCACTAAAAGTGGATTCGAGTCACATGACTATATCCATATCTCCCGAGGTAGACTTTGAATTCCGTAGCTTTCTTGTCTTTCTTAAAAATTTTGAGCCGATGAAGAAATCTCAAGAATGTAAAATCTACAAACCATCATGTTACTAAGACTTGCAGTCTTTGGGAATATAAGAAACCCTTCAGAGAAGAATCTTAAAACTTCCCCCAAATACCAGTATGCTTTGCAATCAGACCATCTACCATTAACTAATAAAAGAAGTGGGACTACTGCAATACAGGTCACTTGTAATCTCAATCACCTAGGCCTTAATGACATTGTCCTCTTACTCAACAATCATTATTATTTCTCTTACTTTTTGCGCAGTTTAAGGGGTCCTGACTGCATAAACATTTCCTTCCATTCAACCACATTTATTGTAGGGAGAATGTTTAAATCAGACTTAGCCAAAGCTAACATAAACTTAGATAAAGGTGGAATGGGTCAAGCAAGAGCAAAACCTCAAAAGAAAGAGCTGAATAGGTATTTTATTTACCATCTCATCTATACACACTCTGTAAATTGGGTTTTCAACAAATCATATGTGTTGATATGCTGATACACAAGAAGGGATGAAAATGGATGAAGATTTGAAAATATTGAGCTTGGCAATATCAACTCTAGCCAAAAAAAAACATCAATAGTTGCCTTTTATCTTGATACCTCCGAGATACTTGTATGGACTATCATCCCGAAAATATCAGTTTTGTTAAAAAAATCTTATTTTGTAAAGGTTTTACATCTTGAAGCAATTACATTTACTAATCATTGTAAGAAATGTAGGTCAAAAGCTATACACAGGCTTACTTGTCTTTTTATATCTAATCAAACCAAGAAGATACTGATTTCAATGAATTCATTTGTGTCAAGAATCCACTAAACCATCAATAATGAAGTACTTTCCATGGCAAGGTCAGTAGCAGCATCACCCAGATTCAGATTCAAATTCAAAGTCCTTCATGGAAATTCAGCAGAAAGATGAATTTTCAAAATTGTCTGTTACAGAACATAAGGAGAACTGGTAAAACAAGCAGAAGAAAGTTTGTTTGAAAATAGTAACATGGTTATGATGGTGAGATGAAAATAATCAGCACACAGTATGAGTTGTCAGACTGATTAGTGATTGTAGTGGACTTCATTGTGCAAGTGGAAGGTGCAACATTTACAAAGCATTTTCCAGTGGCAAGGTAAAGAGAAGCTCAATAGATCTGTACCACATGCTTTGATCTATGAACAAAAATAATGATCTGAAGTTCAGTAGGTTTGTGATCCAATTGAGGACCTCATGATTTCAGATACATTTTTAAGACAACTCAAATATTTGTAATCATTCAGTTGGGAGCTGGCATATACAGTAAATTCCATAAAGAATGAAATGTTCAATTTTTGAAAAAACCTGATGGTCCGTGCACCGCGCAGCAGCGGCCATATCTGATCGGGCCACCCTGTCAAATAAGCGCTCACGCACTTGATGATCTGCAGAAGATTGTTGCTGGTTTCTTTAGTTGTCTTTTTTTAGTCTTCAATTGTTGAAGGGTTTTTTTTCTTGTTTTTTTTTCTTCGTTGGGGGTTGGGGTTGACCGTTGACCCTCCTATCCATGCTGAATCAACCGCCAAGTAGCCCACACTGATTTCCGTGTTCCCCTCTCTTTCTTCGTTCCCAAACCAGTTTCCTGCTTTGCCACCTTTCCAAACATTCGATTCTACCCGTCAAAATGGGATTTCAACGTTATTCAGAGGAACTCGAGCTCCTGGCTACTTGGTTGGCCATGGAGCGGGTCCCTCTTGCCGATATCACAACATTCGATTAAGAACAAACATCTCACCAGTTTTGCTATACCAATGGAAAAATATCTTATGTAACACCAACAGCGTCATCAGAGACCCAGCAACCTATGAGACTCGTGGTCGACCCTTTCTTTTGTCCAACGAGAACCTTGCCCTAGTTCACAACCTTGTGAATGATCAACCCGCAGTCTATCTTGACAAGTTGAAAACGGAGATAGCTGCTATGACTGGGTTGACTATTTCTCGTGCAACCCTCTGTTGTGAACTTCATCACCGTCTAGGACTATCTCTTTTAGTCACCCAAGGGGTCCATCCTAATCAATCCCCGGAGGAGCGGACAGATTTTATGTTTTGGGTGGCTGGAATACCACCTGAATATCTGGTATTTATTGGTACGTGCTTGACCCTGATTTCCTCTATCTAGTCCGTCTCACTAACCATTTTGGAATTGTAGATGAGAGCGGAGTTGTGGGTTGTGATGCTTCTTGAACACACAGCTGGGCCAAGCGAGGAACTCAGACACTTCGCCAGCCCCAATACACCAAACGTAGTCATTGGATCTTACTGCCTGCTGTTAGCGAGGAGGTAATGATTGCTGGGGTCGTCATTGAGGGCCTGTACGCAGGATCGATGTTGAGCTCTTTCTGAAAAATGACTTGGTACGTGTTGCTCTCAATTCTACTTCACCTTCATCTGCTTTTTTGATTCTCAACTCATTTTTGGTTGGGTCACTTCCTCCTTGCATTCTAGCTCCCAGTGATGAACCAATACCCAGGTCCAAACTCGGTGCTAGTCATGGACAATGCACGAGTGCATCATGGTGGGAGAATATTGAAGCTTTGCAACCAGGCTGGAATCCTGGTAATCTATCTCCCAGCGTATTCACCGGATATGAATCCGATCAAAAACACTTTTCACTGTACCAAGTCCTGGTTGAAAAGAGAAGATACAGTTGCCGCTCGATATAAGCACACATTGAGTAAGCATATTTTGCTATAGGAATCAAATTTTGGTGAAACAAAAATGAAAATATGCAGTACACTCCTTTCAAAATGATGCATCATGCTTTGTAAGCATCAAATTTGGTGCATTTTAGTGATGCTTATAGTGAGCGGCGACTGTAGATGGTTTTTCAAGGCCAATAAGGCCAAATACCTCCTCCTTTTGGCCGCCAGAGTGATGACTCGTCAATTGATGCAACCCCTCATTGCCCACGCTGGGTACACCACTCGGCACTATTGGGTCAGGTACAACCATTGGTTTGAGGTTTAGATTATATTACTATCCAAAGGCTTTCATGCCTATCAAATATTTTTGTTATTTCTTTTTTTTAGCTATGATTAGCTCAATGTAGCCTCTTGAAAGCAATTGTTTAGTTGCGATGGTCACGCTACGAAATGTTATTTTTCAATTCTCGTCTGGTTGTTGCAATTCTCGTGTCATTTCTCAATAACTATGATGACATAGATTTGTTTGTATCTGGTGTCCCTCCTGAGCACTTTTGATGTTTTCGTGGTCAAATAAAAGAGTGCCAAGTCCCAGCAGATTGGCTGTGCAATTAAAACCACTTGAAGGTCTATGACAGTTTCACAATTATGACAAACAAGTTGAAAGGCCCCCGTCAAAAATCAAATCAATTTGAAGGTTACAAGGATTGAGTGTAAATCAAAGGTCACTCTTGATTTTGGTGTCACAACTTTGGCAAAATCAATCACATGTGACACAGCCCCCAGCTACTGGGCTCTGGCAGGCCAGAGATTACCTTGGCTTCATGAAAGATTCATGAAAGATTCAGAAAGATTTCAAAAAGACTTCAACATAATATCATGTGGGGCCATTTGCCTGTCCGACCACCAAAATTCCAATGTCATCATATGATGTCATAAATCTGTACACACCTGCTCCTGTATTCACAGATTCAGAATATATAGTCTATTAAACTTTATCATGTAAATTGACTGAGTTATTGAGGTTTGAAAAAAAAATCACAGATACTATTTTTGTACTATACATAAGACTGGGATCTTGGATATCTTAAATCTTTATCAATATACATATAAAATAAACTTTCTATTCCACTGTACAATACATGTTTCTACATTTTTTATTTTTGCAGCCTTTGTCCAAAAGGCATATTTCTATATGTAATTGTGAATTCTACATGAGCAGTCCATTCTTTCCCTGATTTGTTGATTCTAGGAAGGATAGGAATAAATTGATGGCAGAGACTTTTGGAAATTATTATTTACATGCATATCAGTGCCTGATGTGGGCCCTACAATTCATCACAATTTGCCTCAAGGTCAAAGAACTTCAGAAAATCCAACTTATGTATATAATCCACTATTACATATAAAAATACTACCCATAGGTACAAAGGCTGTAGGGAACAGAAATGTGGAGAAACATAGTGCGGAAAATATTATCAAACCTAATGTATATGTATATTGACAAAGATTGAAGATATTCAAGATCCCAGTCTTGTGTATAAGGGCCTCTCAAACCTGACCCGGTGTCAAAAAACCCAGTTGACCCAGTTGACTTTTTGGCTGGGAGCTGTCAATAAATGTCAAATTTCTATACAAAGTTACTGCCAAAAAGTCAACTGGGTCAACTGGGTTTTTGAAAACCGGGTCAGGTTTGAGAGCCCCTATAGTACAAAAATAGTATTTTTTATCCGTGATTGTTTTTTCAAACCTCAATAACTCAGTCAATTTACATGATAAAGTTTAATAGACTATATATTCTTGATCTGTGAATACAGGAGCAGGTGTGTACAGATTTATGACATCATATGATGACATTGGAATTTTGGTGGTCAGACAGGCAAATGGCCCCACATGATATTATGTTGAAGGCTTTTTGAAATCTTTCTGAATCTTTCATGAATCTTTCTTGGAGTCAGTGGTAGGCTCTGGCCTGCCAGAGCCTAGTAGATGGGGGCTGTGTGAAAGCACCCTCTGAAACCCTTCACAGAAGAACTTGATTGTGTTCAATAAGTATGCTTCTTTACTCACGATGTCACACTGAGACCAAATTGGAATCTCGCGCTGAGCAGGCCAGGTATGTGAGAAATCAGCGGGTATCATATTCATTAAGACCATGAGACTTAAATCCGCGAACACAAAAAGGAATAGCACACAAAATTTTTACAGAACTAAAAATCTTTTCAATTGTGATGAGAGAAGCTTTTTCAGGAAGGCAGTATGATTTTTTGAAACAAAAAAGGTAAAACACTAAAACAAAATGATTTGATTAGCAACATACTGGTTTCTTTTCTGAGTGGTAATTGAAGAACAAGAGACAATATAATTTTTATTAAACAAAAAAGAGATTAGATATTTCTATATCTACATATTGTTATCTTTTTGGATTCGGACAGGGATTGAAACAATTAAGCGTGTTTTTTAGATGGCATGACTTTGATTTCACAGTCATCCTCAGAATCTGAAACCACAATACCATTCAAACAAAGCTTTGATTCTTCAAGTTCAACTAGATGATGATAGAACCGCCGTGCACACTCCATCAAGGCCCAGCCAGTGCCAAATGGTATCCCCCAATGTTCCATATTGCGCGTGTCATATGACCCTGGAAATAAGAAAGGATAAAAATTACAAATCCCGTGGTCTTCAAATGCCTCAATAACCAGATCCTTCTCGTCTTCAGGAACATCAGTGAATAACACAAAGTTGTGAATAGTTGAAAAATGCGCAAGTCTCTTGGTCTTGTGGCAATCTACCTCGAAATCCATATCCTGCATCTCAGCGTATCCCCAGGGAGCATCAGATGCTTTGGATACAGGTAGGTCTTTCGCCGTCTTGGAACGCTTAGCCGACATGATTGGCGTGGTAGTCACTAGTTCTCGCTTGATAGACTCCCACTTGAAGCTGGGTTCCTTGGGTGGGTTATCCTTTGTGACACCATTGGTTCCTTTGGCCTTGAGTGTTTACAATAATCACCATCATGTCAACCAAAGAATTAAGAAACACGACAAACTGGCGAAAAAGACTTACTAAAACTTTTGCCCACTTGACCATGTGCTCAAAGGACAAGATCATGATCCGAGTCGGTTGAAGCTTATGGACTAGGCAATAACCTTCTTTGCAGGTGTTTCCAAGTGCCTTATGATGAGCAATCAAATCGGTCAAGATTTTTTTTTGTTTGGGAACTGGGTCTGAATGATCAAGCTTGTCTTGCAAAGTGGTTCGGCCTTGATAAACTACGTTTCAAGCTGCCAAAACAGCATGAGCCAAAGACCGTTTCTAATCACAAAAAGGGAATTGAAGACTGTCAATGTTCAGCCGATTAGGGAAAGAATCAGCCAACTAATCTTACCCTGATTTCTTTCTGAACTGCTTTGGAAGGATTTTCCATTGTCAACGTGATTCCTTTTTCTGCGGTAGCATTTTTCTCCACCGCGGCAAAAAAAGGTTCCAAGTCTTTATCTTCCTCAGGCTGGAATTCTTTACCCTTGCCATAAGTAGGGTGCTGGGAGATGTAAAGGCAAAGTGAGAGCTGCTTGTTGGCGTCGGCAGTTTGGAAGAGGGTGGACATGCCGCCAGAGCTGTTGTTGGTTATCTTGTCTGCAATTGTGAACAAGTGAGATTTGAGATTGGCAATGGAACAATTGGTGACGTCGATGTGTTGCTTCGTTACGGGGAACTTGTGTGGAATCCATTGGGCTTTGTGGTTCGCCTTGACAGGGCCCTTGCTTGCTTCCGGAGTGTACAGACCAAAAGTGATCAAAAAATCATACACCTTCTGAATTACAACTTTGGGTTCAGCAACTAGGACAGACCAATTGAAGTCAGTACAGTGAATCAAAAGATCCATATGGTCAGTGTCACTTACCAGGTTCAATGAAAGGAGTTGGTCCTCTGACGGGGGCTCCTTCTTTGTCCGGAGAAGAGTGTCTGTAATCAAAAGCAACCGGTGTACTGGAACCTTCATATCCCTCGTTGGCCAAATATTGCTTGGCCATCTTCACAAATTCAGAATTGGACCTGAAACACCAAGATCAAAATCAGCAATTTTAGTTCCCTTGGATTTTGGATTAGAAAACGCACTGGCTACTGATTTTGGAAAGGTTAGACATATCTAAGACGTACTCAAAGATGAAGGATAAAATTTGGACGCTGCAAAACAGGGGGATGAATGTGAAATATTCAAGAGACAATGGGGAATGATCGAAAGAGTCTGAGTTGATTGAAGAAACTGTGGATATGGGTGTGCCAGATAATTGACGAGATTGAGCGCGGCTGGAGATTGATCGTTGAGGGCTTCCCCATCGGGCCATCAAGGGTCCCCTCATCAGAGATTGGAGATGTTGTACAATGCAAAGGACTCGAGGTTTGTGAAATTTCTTGAGAATTGAGGTTCGTGACCGTTGTTGAGATTTGAGAAGGCGGGATCTGGACAGGATCTGATTGTTAATGCTGATCCTGGTGGTTTGAAGCTCGTCTGACTACATGGTGCATGGACCATCAGGTTTTTTTGAAAATTGAACATTTCATTCTTTATGGAATTTACTGTAATATAGATAATCAACTCCAAAGGCTTCAAAAGAGAAAGGTTAGACATTTTAATCTGATCATTGAAGCAAGTTTCTAATCACCAATTTACTCTTTGAACATCGGCATCATCAATGCCATTCTGGGTTGAATGCAGTTGACCAGTATAAGTGATACCACAAAGGAATTTTCCATTCAAGCTGTGATAGTCAGCAGTGGAGAGGTCATAGCAATGAAGACAGTATAATCTATAACAAAGTATCAGTACCATTACCCAGAAATAAGACAGAATTATCAGAAACATGGGGTACTACTACCACAGGTTCATTTAGTCCTCACAACCAAAGGGGGGCAGTGAAGCTGGCAGCAACCCCCAAAATTTAAGCTAGCCAATTATAGCCACATAAATATCAGCTGGGACAGTGAAAGAAACATCTTGAAGGCTAAATTTGATACAAATAGGCCAAAATCAATCATAAGAGAATCCAGTGTTGTAATAAACTTTTCCCCTATAAGTATTGAGGTTGAAATAAATGCAGTACATGGCCATAATTAATTGGATCCTGGTCCAAAATGTGAAAACAGAGTGTACATAAGATCAGCTTATTGCCTTGCAGAACAATGAGTTTCAAGCAATAACTATTCATATAAAGATATGTATTGGGGGGTTTGAATAATTTTATTGACCAATACTTCAATGGGCCTACAGAGTTTCAAGGGGTGATATTTGGACAATATTTAGATCAATAAAGTAAGAATCAAGTTGTAGAATCGTCACCTCCTCCATCTGATGTGGTGATCTTATCACGTTTAACAACTGAAGCGTGTCATCAATGATTTACTATTCGAAAAATCACAATCTTCAATTTTCATTCATTGGTATCGACTTCAATGAAAATTTCACTCACTACCACTCTTGTTGACCGGGGTCCTCAGACTCTTCAGGTGAGGCCTGGCTTGGTGAAGCTTGGTGGAAGTTTGGATTCGCTTTAGTAGCATCACATCTGACCCAAGCCAAATAGTGTCCTAGTAGATATATATCATACATCAGCATCATTAGAGACATACAAAAAGACTGAAAACAGACAAACCTCTATCGGCGGATATTCCTTCACAAGTCACGATTCCACCGAGTTCATCTGTCACATTTGCTCCAACGTCTTTGATCAGATCGGAATCAACCAGGCTGTGCAAAAGCGCACGCTTCTCTTTCTAAGCGCCCCTTCATCTTCATCCAGATCCATGTCAGATGGTTGCGTAGCTCGACTTGAAGTACTAGGCTCTTCGGTGGCTGGTGCGGTGCTCGAATGAAGACTAGCCGATTGTATCCCTTTAGCAGCTTCTTCCTTTGTAATTATCTTCCTCTCCTTCTTATTCTTGATACGTTCTCCTCGATCTTTCTCCACAGTTGTTTGATCTTACCAACCGCTGGTCCAATTTTGGCTCTCAAGTCGTCCGTCAATAAGTCAGTGAGATTCAAGTTGAATGGATAATTTACTTTCTCGTATGATTCTCGTCTGCATTCCAATATCATGTCTGCAAAAGAATCGAACCATGAACAGCCAAGTATCTAAGATACATTCATAACAGATCATCAGATTAAGAGAAAAACGATGGATCCACGTATTGTAAGGGACGTACGATGGACCAGGTAAGCGAGAAGGTTTTCAGCTCTTCATGTACAAGTGAGGCCGGAAAAGATACGACACCAGTTTACTCCGCTGGCCCCG